TCATGTGATTGATTTTCTTTGCTAATCCTATAAACTCATATTGTTAGCTTATGTTGACTAACCTTCCAAACTCATGGGGTTGGTTCATTTTGGCTAACCCTTTATTCGCAAAAAAATTATCTTTATAAAAAATCTACATCTATATCCTTATCTTTATCTTATATATATATAAAAGGAAAATCTTGGTATATTGAGGTGGCACCATGAGAATTAAGTATTCTTAAATGGTGGATTGCACTTGAGTTTTAGTTGTCCCACGTTRTRAAGAGTTGAAAGATTTGAATGAAATGAAGTGTATACGAAAGTGGATTGGATGTCTTTGTGTCAAATAATGAGGTTTGTCTCATAAAGTTATCTTATTTTGGATGACTCTCTTTGAAATTTATAACTATGGTTGGAAATCAAATCAACCAAATGGTAAAAATTATAGTGTAAAATTAATTTTATTATATTATTATATCTTTATATATATATAAGTAAAACCTTGGGTTGATGAGATGACACCATGAGAATTATAAAAGTACCTTGGGGTATTGAAATGGCACAATGAAAATTGAGTATTCTCAAATGGTGAATTGTGGTTGAGTTTTAGTTGTCCCACATTTGTGAAGAGTTGAAAGATTTGAACAAATTGAAATGTATAAAAAGATGGATTGGTGCCTTTGTGTCGATTCACGAGGTTTGCCTTATAGGGTTGTCTTAGCTTGAATGACCCTCTTTGAAATCTATAACCATGGTTGTAATCAAAACCAACCAAATTGAAAAAATATTTATCTTTATATATAAAAAAGAAAACATTGGGGGTATTGAGGTGGCACCATGAGAATTTAGTATTTTCAAATGATGAATTGTTGATGGATTTTAGTTGTCCCACATTGATGAATAGTTGAAAGATTGAACAAAGTGAAGTGTATAAGAAAAGTGGATTGGATGCTTTTATGTCAAATCATGAGATTTGTCTCATAGGGTTGTCTTATTTTCTTATGACCGTCTTTGAAATTTATACCATGGTTGGAATCAAAACCAATTAAATGATAAAAATTATAGTGCAAATATAAAAGTGAAACCATGGATGATGATTTGGCAACATGAGATAGTTATTTATTTGTCATCTTAGTGTTATTACTATCAAGGTTTGACACCCCCCTCTAATTATAATTCAAATATTATATAATGTTACGATAAAGTGTAATATTTTTATCAGTTTAATATCTGATATGTGGGTCACCGACCCCCCTTGATATTAATTTTATTTTTTTATGAAGAAAAATCCATTATCTTAGTTTGGTGATGTGATTCTTCATGCATCGCCGTGAACTTCTACTATTATTGCTACAACTTATGCATTTACCTAATTTTCACTTGAAATATTATAGAACGTTTATTTTTTTCATAACTTCAAATGAGATTTCAATTAAATTTGTCACAAAATTAAAATTGTGATTTTGTCACCTTAAATGAGATTTCAGTTAAAAATGTGACTTTTAATTAAACAAACTACTAACATTAGTCAAACATTTGTAGAGTACTTTGCAACACCATTCTCGAGCATAATTTGATAACTTAAATTAGCATATGATTCTAAGATTATTGTCAACTCATCTTAAAAACTTTTAATGTTAATGAGTAGTTGCCACAAACATTTGCCTAAGTTTTTTAGAAGAACAATTCAAATTTTAGTCTATAACATTTTTTTTAAAAATTGGTATTATCGCTACGGTTGGAACACTAGTGATTAATTAAACAATAAACCTTAGATTTGATTTGATTTGATTTGACTGTAGTTTTGTGATTTGACCATTTTATATACCCTACCATGATGAAAAGGATCCTTTTTTTTTTATCATGCATAACTCTGACTTTGTTGCTTTATTTATAGTGCCCATAAATATATATGGACCAATTTCATTTAAATGAGAAATTATAATGTTAAAATATATAATTCTAAAATACATGTTTAAAGATATAGTACAACAAATGTCTATTTTATAGTTTAAAAAAAAGTCTGTTTAATATCTATATATACTTTTTGTGTTTTGAAATTGGATTTTTTTTTAAATATAACATTTGGAATTAAACTATAATATCATGAAAATGAAAAAGTTCAAAAAAATTCAACGAAATATTCCATTTTAAATAAGGGAAAAGTCTAAAAACTCAATTGACTTTAGTGTTTTGAATGATTAAGTTTTTGAACATTTCAAAAATTGTTAAATAACTTTTTGGACTTTCTAAAATCTGTTAGATACATTTTTATGACCTATATATAAAACTGGTTAATGTAGTAAAATAATGAAAAAAGTCTGAAAAAGAAAACCAATAAACTTTTATAGTTTGAATGATTAAATCCCTAAACATTTTTGAACCAAAAAAAGTATTTACTTCTATAAAATGAAACAAATATACAAAAAAAAAACTTACATTTAAAAAAAATTATTGATGAAATTTTATTTTAATTAAAAATAAAAAATATTCTATCAGGAATTTTTTAAATAAAAAATAAAAAATAAAATGATTTAAAAACGGTTACTGATTATATTTGTTTTAATTAGAAATAAAATATGCTCCGTATATGATTTCTCAAATTAAAAAGGATTTAAAAATGATTACCGATGAAACTTATTTTAATTCAAAATAAAATATATTTTGTTGATGATTTTCTAAATTAGAAAAAATAGAAAATGGTTAAATTATTGACGGATTAACGATAAAGTTTAACCAAATACATAATTAATTAAAATTTGTCGCTAGTGTTCATTGGTATATATATGTACTGATTACTTATATCTAATTGATGATTAATTTGACCACTGTCAGACGCTCTAACATAATAACATGTTAATAAGTGTGAAAAATCGTGTTTGAATTTTGTTGGTGATATCATGTTTACCGACGGATTAGCGACTAATTTTAATTAATTATGTATTGAGTTAAATTTTATCGTTAATCTGTCAGTAATTTGATCAAATTATTTTCTATTTTTTTAATTTAGAAAAATCACCAACGAAATATATTTTATTTTTAATCAAAATAAATTTCATCATTAATCCTTTTTAAATCTTTTTTTATTTTTTTAATTTAAAAAATCACATACCGAAATTTATATTCAATTTTTAATTAAAATAAATTTAATCAATAATCTTTTTTAACTTCTTTTTCTTTCTTATTCTCCTGTTGGAGGTACCTAATCTGCTATATGAGTCCTCCACCAGGTTTTTGAGCTCAGGGGTAGATTTTTTTTTTAATTTGAAAAATCACTGACAATATATATTTTATTTTTAATTAAAATAAATTTGATCAATGATCTTTTTTAAATTTAAGTACCTTTTTGGTATATTTGTTTTATTTTATAGATATAAGTATTTTTTTTTGTTCAAACAATGTTTAAGAACTTGATCATTCAAAATATGAAAGTTCATTGATTTTTTTCCAGATTTTTTCCATTATTTTACCACATTAACCAGTTGTATAGGTCATAAGAATATATCTAACATGTTTTAGAATGTCCAAGAAGTTATTTAACATGTTTTGAAATGTCCAAAAAATTATTTGTTCAAAAAAATTGTCTAAGGACTTAATCATTCCAAACATTAAAGTTCATTAAGTTTTTAGACGTTTTCCTTTAAATAATTAAGTTTTTGAACAATTTTTTTTTGAATGAAAAAATCATTAAATTTCTCATTTTGAATGATTAAGTCGCACTACTAAAAAATGGGGTTTTTCCGACGGCAAAATCCGTCGGAAAAACAACTTTCCGACGGATTTCCGACGGATTTAGCCGTCGGAAAAACCCCCGCCGCTAAATGCCTTTTCCGACGGAATTTCCGACGGATTTGTATTTTCCGACGGATATGTCCGTCGGAAATCCGTCAGAATTTTTTTTCATATATTAGTAATTGTCCGGGTTAATTAGAAGTAATCTAAAACGAGATTTAGATTTTCCGACGGATTTCCGACGGAAAATCCGTCGGTAATTATATTTTAATTTTTTCTAACTTATAATATGAAAATCCGTCGGAAATTGTTTTTAATTAACTCTAATTAGTTGATTTAAATAAATTAGACAAATTTTGCGACGGATTTGTGACGGTTGTAGAATAAGTAAAAAAATCCGTCAGAAATCCGTCACAAATCCGTTGAAAAACCGTTTTAAATAATTTTAATTTTTTTCCCGATAAATTCAGTGGGGGATTTGTGGGGGATCTTTGGCGGATATGGATAAAAGTTGACTTTTTTTGACTTTTTTGGTATCTGTCGGAAATCCGTCGGTAATCCGTCGGTAATATTTCCGACGGAATTTCCGCCAGAAAAATCCGTCGGTGATGCCCTTTTTTTTAGTAGTGTCGGTGAGCTATTGTTTTGAATGAAAAAAAATTATTAAACTTTATCTTTTGGATTGATTAAGTCCCTAAACACTTAAAAAAATCATATCACTTTTAAAAGTTGGTTTCCTACGTCTTTTTAACACAAAAAAAAAGTTACATTAATCGAATAGTAAAAGTTCGAAAGTTTATTTATTTAAAAAAGATCAGAGGCTTGATAATTCAAATGTTAAATTTTAAAGTTTTTTCATTCAAAAAAATAGTTCACAAACTTAATGTTTTTTATTCAAAAAAATAATTTATGGACTAAACCATTCAAAATAAGAAAATACATTGGTTTTTTTTACTTTTCCCTTATGAAAATGAATGAGCTTTATACAACCCCTTACATTTTTACAACCAATACAATTCAATTTCAACCGTCCATTTAATTTGATGAATATGTAATTTCATAGAAATTTTGATTGTTTCGTAATACAAAGTCTTGATCATAATTAATGAACCGTATTCATCTTCCATAAATATTTAAATCATAATAAATGAACTATCATCATTTCCATAAATATTTCAATTTTTCAAGTTACATTAATTATACAAATGTAATAAGTGAATTTGAAACAAACTCTCTCTATATATATAATACAACTCATCTCAATTTCTCATTGAGAACAAGAGACAATGGAACCCAATAGGTTGCAGAAAGACATTGAAGGGAAAAATAGTAGCCAACATGAGACTCTTGAAGACACAAACAATATCTTCATCAAACATAGTAAACAAGGAGGATGGACTACCTTCCCCTTCATCTTAGGTTTTTAATTCTCTCTCACTCTCTCTCTCTCTATATATATATATATACACACACACACATCATTTATGGATGATCATTCCATATATATATGATGCAGGAAGTATGTTCGCTCTAACAATGGCAACAGGAGGGTGGGTCGGAAACCTGATTGTGTACCTTATCACCAAATACAATGTTAAGAGCATCGAGGCCACTCAGGTCTTTAATGTCGTCCTTGGCTGCTTAAGTCTCTTTCCCATGGTCGGAGCTATCATCTCCGACTCCTTTTATGGCTCCTTCTTTGTCATCGCCTTTTTCTCCTTTGTTTCTCTCCTGGTAATTAACTTAACTTCCTTCATAACATATACATATATATATATATGATCATTTAATTAATCTATCCTTTTTCTTTTAGAAAATGAGTTCCGACTTATATTAATTTCAGGGTGGGGCACTTATGACATTAACGGCTTCACTTCCTTCCCTAAGACCTTCACCATGTATCAACATTTGTGATTCTCCATCAAAGCTTCAATATGGAGTTCTATACACGACCTTAGGGTTAGCTTGTATCGGAATTGGAGGCACACGTTTCACCATTGCTACCATGGGAGCTGATCAGTTTCAGAACTCTAACGATACAGCAATCTACTTCAATTGGTACTTCTGTTTCTTTTATATTGCCAGTGCCATAAGCTCAACTGCCTTAATCTATGTTCAAGATAATGTGAGTTGGACACTAGGGTTCGGGATATGCGTTGCTAGCAACGCAGTTGGTCTCATCTTATTCTTGTCGGGCAACAAATTTTATCGACACATTAAACCGAAAGGAAGTCCTTTTACAAGCATTGCTCGAGTTATCGTTGCAGCTGTCAGGAAGAGGAAGGTTTCTTCAAGAAACCAAGACTATAACCATGATGATAAATCTACCACAACCCCATCAGATAGTTTCAGGTAAACTTTTACGAACTCTCTCTCTCTCTCTCTCTCTCTCTCTCTATATATATATATATATATATATATTCTTTTCTATTAATCTAGGGTTTGCAAATTCAATGTAAGTTCATCATCATGTAGGTTCTTGAATCGTGGGGCATTGAGGATTGAATCTGATGGTCCAAACTCAAGATCATGGAGTCTATCTACTGTACAAGAAGTGGAAGACTTTAAAACCCTAATCAGAATAATGCCACTGTGGTCCTCCAGCATTATGTTGAGTACCCTTGTTGGCATGATCAGCAACTTCACCATCCTCCAAGCTCTAACCATGGATAGACACCTTGGAGGGTCTCATTTCAAGATCCCAGCTGCCTCTTTTTTATTTTTCAGCACTCTAGCCACAAGCATTTCCATTTTAATCCTTGACCGTTTGATATTTCCCATGTGGCAAAATCTATCCCGTCGATCTCTAACGCCCCTCCAACAAATAGGAGTTGGCCATGTAATCAACGTCATGGCGTTGGTGTCATCCGCCCTAATCGAGGTCCAAAGGCTACACACTGCTAGAGCCCACCATTTGACGGGCTCAAGCATGGGTAGCACCACAATCGTGCCATTTTCCGCATCATGGCTCGTGGTGCCTTTAACCATTTTAGGAATAAGCGAAGCATTTCTCTTTCCGGGGCAAATATCATTATACTATCAAGAATTCCCAACATCTTTACGTAGTACATCAACGGCTATGATATCGTTGTTGGTTGCGGCTGGATTTTATTTGAGTACAGCGATGACCAGTTTGATTCAGAAAAATACCAGCTGGTTGATGGATGACTTAAACGATGGTAGGTTGGATATAGTGTTCTGGTTATTAGCAGCGATCGGGGTGGTGAATTTTGGGTACTTTCTCCTTTGTGCGAAGATGTTTCGACATAAAGTGGATGTCGATGATCAAAGTTTGGACGATGTTTCACGTACTTGAAAAATCTTGTAGCTTTTAATAGATCAAATATTGTAGTCTGTATAAAAAATAATGCAACTATGTTGGTGGTGCAACTATGTTGGATGCATACACCAAGATAAGATGTAATATAACCATGTTTGGCCTATGTTTATTGTAATTGTGTTGGTGGTCTTTCGTATTCATGTTATTTAAGATTCATGGTTTTAAGTTGAAAATATATGATTTGGAATAAATTTAACAAAAAATTATAAGCCATATAAAATAAGAGAGAATCTATATATCTATACTATATTATAAACGTTTGACAAAAACTTTTTAAAACCACTTTTTATGCATAAAATACTGTTTATTAATTCATGTTACTTAAAACTCAAGATTACAAGTAAATTTTGCGTAAGTATAACTTTTTAAAGCTCCATATATGAATTCGTGTAACTAACTGCGGATAAACATAATCAAATACAAGATAAACATCTCATTTTAAATATAAAAATCTAAAATATAATTAGGATAATCATTGAGTTCTAATAGAATACTTAATTACTATATATATAAAACGTTATATTATTAAACAAAAAATAAATTACTTCATTATTAAACTTAAATTAAATTATAATAAAAAAATTAAAGAAATTATATAAAAAATAAGAATTTTTAAATAGTTGATTTAATATTAACATTTTTTTAAATTTTTTTGATATCTTCAAATTTATATTTTATTAAAAAATAAAGTCATTATTGTTTTCTTAAAAACACATAAAATCGTATTATAACATTGACATAGACAAATAATAAAATAGAAAAAATCGAGATGTATCTCGCTGCATTGTGCGGGTATGATTATAGTATATTAAAGGAAGAACCAAAGTTGATAACTTGACTTTTCTTAAAAGCTAGAAAACTTATTTATCTTTTTTTCTCATTCAACCTCATTTTAATCTTTTTTCTTAATTTTACATTTTAATTTCTATAACATTGATTATTTATTTATTTTTGCATTTAACACCATCTTTTCATTATCACCAACTCTTCTTCATGTCTTTTCTCTATCTACATCAATTGATTTGCTTTTCATATTTCATTTTCTTCCTCATTAATTTGTTCGTTGTTCGATTTCTTTTTCTCTAGTTACGTCACTTCACTTGATGTTTTTCATTTCATATACCATACCATTATTTTTCAACAAATTCATTTCAAAGTTTATTTCGAAAAGACTAATTCGGTATGCATTCCTTTTGATTTTTGTTGGGATTTTAGCAATTTTTTTGAACTTTTCTTTTATATAGTTTTCTTAAAATATTACAAACTATAATTGTAGCCTTATATAGAGTTTTGATGGCAACAGTGATCTGATAATGAAATCTTATGGCAACAATGGTCCAATGATAAAATCATAAAAATATTACAAACTATGATATAGCCTCAACAAACTTCAACATCTTTTTTTAATAAAAGATTATATTTTTTATGTGTATTTTGCGAAAACTAATACGGATATGCATTCCTTTTGATTTTTGTTGGGATTTTAGAGTTTTTTTTTTTTTAACTTTTCTCTTCTATAATTTTCTTAAGTTTTCCTCAATGAAACCAATAGTTTGTTATTGACAATACTTTCAGAGTTTTGATGACAACAATGGTCCAATAATGGAATCATGAAAATATTACAAACTATGATATAATCTCAACAAACTTCAAGATGTCTTTTTTTGATGTATTCCTTTTGAGTTTTATTGAGATTTTAAAGGAGAAATCAAATATAATGAGATGTCATCCTCTAAACATTAGAAGCCTATCTTTCCTTTTTAATAGATTTTCGGTTTTTTAAAATATTAGATTTGTAAAAACTTTTCTATCACTATATTTAAAACATGAAATTCATTAAGATAAGATTGTTTTGGTAATTTTAAAAAGTTTAACCTCCAACCTTTTTATCTTCATTCTTGAAGGTAAAACCTCCAACTTTTCCATATGCTCCTCAATGATTTGTCTATCAATAAATCTCTTTTTCTTCTTCTATATCATTTGATGTATCTAACATTTTACAAACCATTATTATTTAACAAAATCTTTTTTCAGGTGAACTTTTTTCGCTCTCTCCATCACTTGATTTCTTATTATAACATAATGTAAATACGTACCTAACTAAAAAACACATAGGATATTCCTCAACCCGAACCCTTCCTCCTTATTTCTATCAACAGATATCACAAATCTATTTAAAGATTCAATCCTTTTTTATCTGTCCAACCTTTTAAGTGATTGATAAGAAGAATAGAAGATTAATGCTGGAAATTGTTGGTGGAGGAAGATATGATCGGATTGGAGTCAAATTGGAATCATCCATGGACATTCTTTGTATAAATATGAGTGGTTTGTATTTGATCGTTCTTCTACACACACACACACACACATATATAGAGAGAGAGATGAGTGATCAAATGAAAATCACTCCAATTTGTAAAAACCGTAAAAACTACTCTCATCCGTCGATTTCATTGTTTAATCTTATGAAATTTTTTCATGAAATTGTTTAATCTTGTGAAATTGTTTCATATAATACTTTTTTTGATTAAGTTGTTTCATATCATATACTACTTAATGAAATTTTAATGAAACTGTTTCATGTGTTTCTCTAAAATTAAAAAATACTGAAGATGATAATATCCATGATTAACATCCTCCACAATAAAAATGATTAATCAATCTTTCATAATTACAAAAAAATGGACAAAATGAAAAATTATGATTGGTGGAATGAGATTTTTACGGTTTTTACAAATCGAGTGGTTTTTATTTGAACCCACCCCTATATATATATATAGGGGCCTATTCAAGGGAGAACTAAGTTGTTTGTGATAACTGTGAGAACCAATATTAACCACAAATCAATAGATAAATTAGGAAATTTATAAATTTGGTAATTTTAAATTAAAATCTTAATGCAAGGATATTTTT